GGTAATTTTACGAATACGCGCTGTTCATGACTATACATGTTCACACGCAAGGACATTAACCGATCTAATTTGATCAGTGAAGTTTTTTTCAACCCCATGCAAAATGCTTATTAGTGATCGTTTTTCTCTTCCGTTTTCGTTTTAATTAAATCGTATGAACCCGAGTAAGAAGGTTAATTTATAATTTTCGTTTATGGTTTAGGTTCTAAGCCATTGCAAGCAGTTGAACATCATGTATTTGTTGATGAAATGAAAAAGGCGAAGTTGTCTTGTAAAGTTACTTCCCAAACATCTACTCTTATCAGTTGGACATTTAACAACAAACCTATTTACGTTGGTTCGCGAGTGGAAATAGTCAATACATCAATAAATAACAGCGTATACAATTCTCTTTTTATCGATAATGTCAACGTCAGTGATAGTGGTACATACACATGTTATGGTCATTTCGCTGGAGTTTTAGTAGTTGAGACGATCACTTTGAGTGTGCGAGGTAAATACTATATTCTCTGCTCATACCCTAGACCACTAGTTAATTCTTGTTTGTGTCTGGTTATCATGGTTGACGGTCGCGCTTGTTCTTGTTTTGAACAGTTTTCCCATCATGATCTGGTGTTTCTCTTGTAGTATTGATGGCACCAAACGTTTCCCTCAACAATATTGTACAAAGACAGGATTCTTCTTTTGAAATCGATTGTCATGCATCCGGTTATCCTCCTCCTGAAATCGAATGGAAAAAAGACGGCGAAGTAATAAAATTTAAGAAAAGCAATGATATATCTAAAACAGATCAATGTGAGGGTATGATCGGGGGGATTTATATGAAATCCAAAGCAGATGTACTGGTGATTTGTAAAGCTGATTACAAAGAGCATTTAGGCGAGTTTTCATGTACAGCTCGCAATTCTCTTGGCAATAAGACAGCAAAGGCCAAAGTGGAAATACTTGGTAGGTTCATAAATTGTTGGCAGCTAAACATTTAAAGAATGACTTTTTTGTTGTAAGAATGCTACGATCGCGTTTTACGTATTTTTTAAAAAATTTAAACTGTTGTTAAATGTTACATTAATGCTCTTTGAGGTATCACGTCTTGAGCACTATGTGTATTTATCGAAAATATCAATAATCATTGATAGAAAATATCTTTTCACAATTTTTAAACTTATCTCACTGCAATACTTTATTCGGACGACTTGTAAATATTTTGCTTTCGTTAGAATAGGATGAAATCTTTAATACGCATGCGCTTGTATATTATTATAGCAATTGGCTTATTTCAAAAGCAAATTGTTAGTTGGAAAGATAAGTACGTAATTTTCTTAAATTTCAGCTCCTCCAGTTATTAAGCCATTTTCAGAGATTAAACCAGAAATCAGCCTAGAGTTTACTCTCTTCTGTGATGCTGATGGCAATCCTAAACCTACAGTTTGGTGGACGAAATTTGATGATACTACATCGAACTTCAGTCCTTTTGAAAATAGAAGTAATGTGTTGTATTTTGCGTCTTTCGAAGAAGGCAACAGTGGAACTTATCGTTGTTACGCGCAGAATGGTCTAAATATCACCTCGGAAGACCATGAATTGGGTTTGTCTATCTATCTTTTTATTCTTCACTTTCTGTTGTCACTTCATTGCACATTATTGCATTGTTGATCTTTTTCTAAAAAAGTTTTTCTCGTGGCAACCATTCATGAAATTCTCATTTATTATCAATTTTTATCCTTTCCCAATCAAAAAACAAGCTGTTGTGCACAGAGAAAAGAAATGGCGACTTGAATGTCACCATACGCGTCAGAATTTAAAACAAAATTTTGAATTAATCCAAGGTTAAAATGCTTATGACACAAAATTTTGTCACCAACTTTGTTTTATTTTGTTTAAAAATACAACAGTTTAACGAATACATGTTTCGATGAATATGTGTATAAGTATGGCAATGTTAAGATATTTTACTACATACTGTGGAGTAAAACTACTATTTCTTTAAATAATAATATATCTGATGTCCCAGTGGTACTAATTAACTATAGTGAAAAGAAGGTTCTAAATTTCTATAGAAGTAAACTAACGCCATTCAAGTTTAAAGTCAATTGAGAAAACTGTGTGCTGAAAATTTTGTCATTAACACTTTGAGCAAAACCATCATTGAAAAACCAGTCTCAGGTCTTGTCACGCCGAATATCGACAGAATATAAATAAAATATTGAGCATATAACTTACCTACGTTCCTCTTTGCAATGTTCACCTGTAGCTTTCGTCGTCGATGGTCAGCCATCAAAGCACCACTAAAGGCAGATTCTAACAAAACTCCCATGGTTGTTGGTGGTATTAGTTTCTTTATTATTCTCAGCCTTGTTGTCGTTGTTGCCGTTATTCTTTATAAACGAAAGAAAGCTTATGGAGGATTTTACATTCTAACCATGCCTCCACTTACTGACTACATCAAAAAGTTAGATCCACACACACCGATCACGAAGCAAACCAACAAGTTACCTTATGATGCGGAATGGGAGTTTCCAAGAAACAGACTAAACTTCGGTAAGTGTGCTTTATCGCTACTATGTGCATCGATATGGCATGAGTGTACGCGGACCTTTAGAAAATAGGTATAACTGCTTGGTGTTTGATTCCTGAGGAAAGAGTTTCAATGTTTAGGAACTCAAGTGAAAAGACCACTGTTGAGGGATCAAAAATTTTTAATGGTCTTGGAAAGAGGTGTCTATTGCAAAGCAATACATATCTAGATTTTGTTGTTTGTTTGCTAAAGGTCTGCAATTTTTTTATTTGTTTCGGACCCCATTAGTGCTATTAGGACAATCACGTTTGTATTTAGACGCTAGTTGTACTAGTGCAAAGTTTACTATATAATCAACATTCTGTAAATTGAAGATTGTTTGTAAATTTTTTGCAGCTCGAGAACTTGGCTCCGGTGCATTTGGCAAAGTATTTTTGGCGGATGCAATGGGAATTGTTGCGTTTGATCCTCGTGGTAGCACTAAAAGAAAATCAACTAGACGTCGTTTTGGTGGACCCGTTCGACGAAATCATTACGTGAACAACAACAAAACGGCAAAAGTTGCCGTAAAAACTCTTAAAGGTATTTTTTCTTTCACTTGTTCAAGTTGAGAAAACCTTGTTATATTAATTTTGGTCTCAAGGCAAGGAATTTTATGATTTATCTTTCATTTCATCTTGAAGACTATAATTTATATGAATTCTGGTCATTTTATTTATAGAATTTTTCTTCTCTCATCCAAAAATTTATAATGTTCTCTTTCATTCTTGCTTTCAATATTAGTAAGTATATGTTCTCTTTCATTTTCTTGCTTCAAGAATAACTAAAATGTTCATTTCAGATTCTTGCTTAAGAATACAAAGTATATGTTATCCTTCATTCTTGCTTCGAGACTAGTAAGTATATGTTAAACTTATTGGGTTCATGACTAGTAAGTATATGTTCTCTTTTATTCTTGCTTCAAGATTCATTAAAGTTATATGTTCTCCTTCATTCTTGCTTCATTAGAAGTAAGTATATGTTCTCCTTCATTCTTGCTTCGAGACTAGTAAGTATATGTTCTCCTTCATTCTTGCTTCAAGACTAGTAAGTATATGTTCTCCTTCATTCTTGCTTCGAGACTAGTAAGTATATGTTCTCCTTCATTCTTGCTTCGAGACTAGTAAGTATATGTTCTCCTTCATTCTTGCTTCGAGACTAGTAAGTATATGTTCTCCTTCATTCTTGCTTCGAGACTAGTAAGTATATGTTCTCTTGCTTCAAGCTTTCCATAGTAGTACCTTGTTATGGATAAACAAGTTGAAAGTGTTTGTATACTATTTACTTACGAACTCTTTCCTTTCTAGTGTATTCACAGGGATTTAGCAACCAGGAATATTTTAGTTACTGATAACTACGTCATCAAAATCGCCGATTTTGGTCTTGCCCGTGATGTGGGCAAAGACAGTCAATATATTAAGACTTCCACCGTGAATAAATACTGTTTTGTAAAAATGTATATTGATTTGCTTATTTTTCTGAACAGATACAGTTTTAACTTGCACAACTAGGGTTTAGTAATCATTTTTTGTGTAGCAACATTAAAAAGCAACACAATCTTTATATGTATCTTTATTCTGTTCTCATACATGATGTTTTGATCCTACTGTTTTTTTGCAGGGATTACTACCAGTGAAATGGATGGCTATTGAGGCAATTATTCAAAGACTCTTCACCGAAAAGAGCGATGTGTAAGTTGTAGAATAGTGAAGTGAATGAAGTCCATGCATTGAAGACCATGTTAATTTTCGGCAAATTATCACTACTTCATGCCTAATTTTTTCTTCTATGTAGTTGGTCATTTGGTATTGTACTGTGGGAATTGTTCACATTAGGTAACTACTGAGTACCTACAATATTTAATTTGGATTTGATGCTTGATTCCTGTTCAAATGTTTTCTTATTTTTGTTATCATTGAAATAATGATTTCATGACTATTTTGTTTATTTACAGGTGGCACACCTTATCCTGATGTTCTTCCAACTGAGGTTGCAGATTTACTTGCACGCGGGCATAGAATGGAACCGCCTCATGCATGTCCTGAAGAAATGTAAGAATTTATGTCAAAATTCTTCGTAGGATATTAATTCACTCAGTTTAAGATTTACTTTATTTCATGCAGATCGACACTTATGATGAAATGTTGGCATGCGGATAAAGATTGTAGGCCAACATTTTCAGAACTTGTTAAAATCCTCGACAAAATTATCGAACTTCATACTTCATCTGAGGTTGGTAATTTACTTTGCCTCTTGTTTCTCGAACTTATTGAAATGTTTGACGAAATTATTGAGCTTTATACTTCATCTGAGGTGTGTAATTGACGTTGTATCTTGATATGCGTCGTGTCTTAAAATAGAAATTATTAATGTCGGGAAAAAGGCCTGTGTATGTGTTGTGGCATCGCTTAGGGATCCTGGAGGGGGCAGGTATCTCCATAAATTTTTATGCCCACTCTTCCATTTGAATTTCATCAAATATTTTCAGTCCTTGTCCACAAAGAAATTATCTTTCTAACTTGTTTCCCCCTCCCCCATCTTGGAGAGTCTACGCCATTGTTTGTATGCTTCTTGTTGCTCAACATTCATCTCTTCGACAGGGAGGTCAAGGGTACCTCGAGGTACAAGGTGAACTAATGAACGACTATTTATCGCCATCCGAGGTGAAGACTCCAGAAATGGATCCATTTCAATGCAATTCTCCCTTACCACCAGTTCCATCGCCGGCTGATAACGAAAGTTTTGCGCTTTTACCAAGAGATCCAAATGCGAGGAGGGATAAATTCCGTTTTGATAAAGGATTTCGTAAAAAAGGAAGAAAGGATAGCGAAATTGAGAAAATGCATAATGATCGTAAACCGGAAATGCCGAAGCATTCAGATGTAAATTTGTAAGTTTGTCTAAAAGTTGTTAGTGACTAGAAAATATCAATTGCCGTCCCATTTTCACTTTGGCATACACTAGGGGATTTTTGAAAAAAGTTAAAACGTAATTAGCGATTTTATTTTAAAATGGATCACTTTCTATCAGTTTGATCTCTTGTATCTATTTGTTCTTCCATGAATGATTTACATTCCAAGTATATAAATTACCGTTTAAACAGTAAATAATTTGATATAAATATCAATTTTTGGCAGTATTTGTCGTACAACATTTTGTAGGCAGAATATACTGGGCTCTTGTTTTGCTTAAGAGTATTAAAATGTGTTGAGTGGCCGACAGTCATTGTTGATGCTCGCTTTAATGAAAGTTGACTGGGTGTTGAAAGAGATTTTGATAGGGTAGCTTATCGAGAGAGAATTTATTAAGCAGTTTATTTATAGAGAGAATTCCCCCGATAGTCTATAGAGAATATATCCCCATTTAAACTCCATAGAAATAATACAACGTACAGCCCGAAGAGAGACTTCACCGTGTAGACGTGAAGAAGTAATTTTTTGTTTTTAGTTTCCCTGAAAATTCACCCAATAATCATAATGATGGGAAAATAATTATGAAAGAGAAGACAATAGATGAACACTTTACAGAAAAAGACCGCGGCTCGTCGGAGGAGAAAGAACATCATCCGTATTATGCTAATTTGCACAAGTCATATGTGTAAACTGGGGAATGCAAATTTGAAAAACAGTTCGTTATTGCAAAGAAAGAGAAAAGCTACCAACAGAACTTTGCAATCGTGTTTATGTAATATTATTTTTAATGTGTTGTGTTTTCGAGCGCCAAAAATAGGAAGTATCAACTCAAAATATGCTAAGCATTTAAATTGTAAATTTATTCTTGGAATTGCAACCGATCTCCACAGTTCTACCTATCTCCTATGTTGATATAATATTCTCTTGTGTTTGACCACCAACATGGCGGTCAAATGTGTTCATATATTATTCATGTGTCATGTGTTCATATATTATCAGCAATATGTTTTTCGCAAAATGACTATTGCTCTCTATTTTTTTCAGTTTTTCTTAAAGCTTCATAAGTACTGCGGCTCGCCAATAAAAATTTCCCTGGTTCAAGCACTACGTATATTGCTAACAATCCCACAGCACATGCAGTGCAGACATTAAAGTTCTTTTTACTGCATTAAGGATAGTACCGTTGTGTTCTTTCACTCAGCCCACTTTTTTGAGTAGCGAACACGTTGTACCATACCAAACACCCTCGAAATGATCGAATCCAAATATTTGAAAACTTTCCAATATTTGAGCAAATATAGTTAAGGAAATCTGGAATGATTTTTTATCAAGAGTCAAGATAAACTTGGTTCATCAAAGAACTAATTGTGGTTTATAGACGTATGAAACTACAAAATGTTTTTGATTTTTTGTGAAGTGCGATGTTTGTGTGCTTCGTGTTCATGAATTTAAACTAACGCGAACATATGAGAACAAATGGAAGTTGTGCATGACTGACTTCTTTTGAAAGTGATTTTGCTTTTTGAAGAAATCAGTTGGGCACAACTGATAGATGAATATGCACTACCCCCACCCCAAATTAACGTTCTAGCTACGGTCCTGCCAGTTTTTATGCATACAGGCTGTGTCGAAAAAAACTGCTCATCTTTAATATGCAGATCAGAAGACATTTTTGATATGCATCATTTAGCCGTATTGAACCCCAAGAAGATGTAAACGTCATTGGAAAGAATTTCATGCTTGTGTTGTTCTAAAACCTAACCCACGACAAAATACACAAGCTGCTTGTACCTTCTGTTATTAAACTGATTAACAAAGTCATCATTTCTCTAATTATGTTTACGTTAGTGTTCTAATTGGTCCCATGTTACAATATTTTTATAACTTTATATTTAATGATAGTGAGAACAATGCAAGATCATGGTGTTTGTTTTTAAACTTGAACAGTACTTTAGCTAAAAACTATCTTGTTTTATGCGTGACATTAGGCACGTGCAGTATATATATGGAACATAGAGTTGAGCCACTCTATTGAAAATTTTTATGCCACTCATATCTTATCACGCATTTGACTGCCATAGTTGGCTCAGCGGCAGTCAGTGAAATGCATTTCCTTATCAATAGAAGCGCTGGGCAGGCTAGTGGCAGCCATTAGTCTAATTATATCCACAACAGCAAGTTGCACATCAAAGTAAACCTATGTTTATTCCTTATACTGTGGCTTTGTGGAAGGAATCAATCATGATTCTCAATCCATCGTCTTTCTTTCGTTCATCGCTATATTAAGGGAGCAGGACTCATTCAGGTTGGATTTAAATCTTTATTTTATACTTTGGACTTATTTTTAATTTACTTACTGAGAGGTCTATGTCAATCAATGATTCTTTCATGAAGTGGCACAAGATTACAAAAGCTCTCAACACTTGCAAAGCGCCCAATACAAAATTAATAATAGAGATGACCTTTTGTCAGTCACTAATCTGTGATATTACAATTGACTATACATACATATTGTCTGCTTTCTGGCGTGCCGTCAACAGACTCTGATTCCCACAAAACATGGCGTGTGCTTGCAGACGATGAAGTTTGTTTGTAATATGCATAGAAGGTTCTCGTTTGACCTTTCGTGTATCGTTTTACACAATCATCGTTGTAACCATTTTAACCAGTCTTTTGGAATTTACCACACAAATAAGGCTAGCAGAAGATACCTCTCCACGAAAAGGAGCATCTTATAAGAATGAAGACGCAATAAGATTAGAAAATATGACAGCGACAAATCACAACGACACTAAAGATGTTCAACAGCCTGAGAAGATAGAGTCCATTTTTTGAAGCTATTGTTTACATTATTTTGTGAATTGGAAACGAAGATACGTAGGAACTGCCAATTGAAGAATTTTAAGAATTGCAAAATATCACCTTCTTATATTTTGTTGAAAATCAACAATTTGGTAAACTTTCTGAAATCGTTAATACCACAGGTGAAGGAAAGCTAAGTTATTTGGATGGACTTACCTTTCTTAAAACCCATGTAAATCTCAAACTTCCATGGTTGGCCCATGCAAGTCTATACATCATGATTAACACCATGTAAGTTTCTACACCATGGTTGGCACAATGCAAGTCTATACATCATGATTAACACAATGTAAATTTCTACACCATGGTTGGCACAATGCAAGTTTCGTCTACACCATGGTTGGTACAATGCAAGTTTCTACACCATGGTTGGCGCAATGCAAGTTTCTACAACATGGTTGGCGCAATGCAAGTTCTCACACCATGGTTGGCGCAATGCAAGTTTCTACACCATGGTTGGCACAATGCAAGTTTCTACACCATGGTTGGCGCAATGCAAGTTTCTACACCATGGTTGGCGCAATGCAAGTTTCTACACCATGGTTGGCACAATGCAAGTTTCTACACCATGGTTGGCGCAATGCAAGTTTCTACACCATGGTTGGCGCAATGCAAGTTTCTACACCATGGTTGGCACAATGCAAGTTTCTACACCATGGTTAGCACAATGCGAGTCTATACATCATGGTTGGCACAATGCAAGTTTCCTCTACACCATGATTGGCACAATGCAAGTTTCTACACCATGGTTAACACCATGTAAGTCTCCACACCTTGGTTATCATCATGACAGTCTCCACACCATGGTTAAAACCGTGTAAGTCTTCACACCATGGTTAACACCATGAAAGTCTCCACACCTTGGTTAGCAACATGCAAGTTTCTACACCATGGTTAGCATCATGAAAGTCTCCAAATCATGGGAAAACGGCATTTTACACATTGTTTGCTTCAAATAGTTATAAGCCAATTTAAACTGATTTCACCAATGTAGTATAAGGAGCAACCCCTATAAAATTTATGTGTTGTGATAATTATAGTTTAGAAATCATTAATTGTTACGCACTAATGATTTCATGTTATAAATTATCGCCAAACGTACATGTTTCATAATGTCCCTCTAGGTCCTCATGCTTTGTATGCCACTGATATCCATCAACGATTTAAGGCGACTTTAGGATTTTGAGTTAGTTACAAATAACAAAGTAAACGTTTTTTTCAATTGAAATTTCAGCTGACTAACTTGGATGATTATTTGTAGTCGCGTAATCATTTTTGATCAAGCTACAGATAAGAAATCATCTCTAAAAAATAAATCTTAATTTTAAACTGAAACGCTGAAGGAGAAACTATTTGGTTTATTTCTCAGAATCGTGATCTGCATTGATCTTATATATTTTGAAAAGATACGAATTTTTTAGGTGAAATTTGTAAATTTTAGGCAAAGGACAATCAACAGTTATTGCTATATAAACTAAATTATATCATAAAAAATTGCACTACTTTCAAACAACTAACTTCTGAACTTCAAACATGGATGTTTAGAAGTTTTATGAAGTACATTAAATTTACTTGTTATGTCTTAGTTTATTTTATAGATTAAAACCGATTTTAAAGTAATTTGTTTTTTAATTTTCATTCGGACCTAGATTCTTTATATTGCATTTGTTGTTAACATTTCCCAGGAGACAATTTATAGAGTCAAAATATCACCAAATGAATTATTGTGTCTTGATTTTTTCCATCGAACTCATAGCTATGTTGAGTTTGCAAGATGTCTTTGTTTGTCGTAGTATGTTTCATCCTTTTAGTCCACTACCTGAAGCAGACAATGAAATTGAAAATGCCATTCAATATTCAGCAAATAACCTCCGAATTTAAATTATTGCTTTTGCCAGTGCTCAGTGAGCCAATGACCAAGAATTTATGAATTGTATTTCAAACGGTCCAATTCTCTTCATGTATTCTTAGAAGAGACGCATCTCCGATGAAGATGCTTAAAGTTTGATTTGAGTTTATGCTTCTTCTAACTTAACGAGATGTTAGATGAGTTGTCTGAGCTAAGAGTTTATTTAGGGAAAAGATTACTGGAATAACATGAATGAGTTTTAATTCGAAAGATTGTAGCGTTCCTTTTTCAGCAGGTATCTGTTTGGATAGATTTAATATTTGACATTTTCGTAGTATTTAAAAGTTTTCCTTTTATAATATAAACATGATAATTGGTGGTAATATGACTATGATTTGTATTATTTCATTAACAGAAATAAAAGTGCTCATTTCTAGCAAAAAGTAAGTAGCGTAAAATAGGAAAAATTGTTGCCATATATATTTAAATATCCAAAGTCCCAAGAAGTCACACGTTTGCAGTAACGACAGTCAAAATAAAATTTATGATGATAATATTTATATATTTTCACTAAAAAGACTTTCTCCATTGTGCTCTTTTATCGTTTATTGTACAAGTTATCATTCATCACTAGGGCAAGCGTATGGTGCAATGGCGCGCTGTCAATTTTTTTTGTTGGAGGAGGGCGGGGGGGTCGCAGAAACCAATATCGGTAACGAATTTTGAATAGAGGACAGAAAATTTTACTATGCTTGTAACATTTCATCAAGTTATAGGTGATTGAGAAAATGTGAAAAGTATAAAAGTTATACATCGTGGATGA